ACCCTAAACCTGTCCTGCCCCAGCTGTTACATTTACTTGTTATACACCTCACATACCGCACAGATCAACATGGCCCAGAGAGCAGGGCTTCCTGACTCCACATCACGACTCTCTGTCCCTCCCACACCGATCCCTGCAACCCCCCACCCACCTATACCTCTTCATCCCCCGTCCTCTGCACAGACACACACCTTTAAGCCCCATCCCCTGCCATAAATCCATATCCCAGGGCCAGTCTCCTGCCCCACTGCACATTGTTATTTGCATTCCAGTAGCACCTAGAGGTTGCACTCAGAGCTGGGCCCCCGCGGCACTAGGTCCTGTACAGACACACTCAGGGCCAGGCTCCACTATGCTAGCTCCTGTACACACACACTCTGAGCTAGGCCCCACAGTGCTAATTACTGTACACACACACTCTGAGCTGGGCCCCATGGCGCTAGGTCCTGTATGCACACTCTCAGGGCCAGGCCCCTCAGCACTCGGTCCTGTACACACACACTCAGGGCTGGGCCCCACAGCGCTAGGTCCTGTACACATACACTCAGGGCTGGGCCGCACGACGCTAGGTCCTGTACACATACACTCAGGGCTGGGCCCCATGGCGCTAGGTCCTGTACACATACCCTCAGGGCCGGGCCCCACTGAGCTAGGTCCTGTACACACACTCCAGACTGTAAGATGACACAGGCCCTACTCCAAAGAGTTTACAATCTAGGGTCCTGACCCTGAAAATATTTATAGCCAGGTATAACTTTACTCAGAAACCTGCCCCTCTTCCCCACTCACCCCTCCAGGTACTGCCCCATCTCCCTCCTCCCCTTTATCTCTGAACTCAGTGAACCCAGTCTGCAAACAATGCTTGTGTCTCCAGCTGTCTTAGATCCCTTCCAGTCTGACGTCCCTCCTTCCCACTCTAGTCAAACGGCTCTCACTGGGGTCCCTAATGATCTTCCTGGCCAAATCTCAATGCCCATAATCACAGGGTTTTTTTTTTATTCCTCCCTCTGCACACCCAGGCCATTTCCAAACACCACTGCTCTTTCCTGACTGTTATCTCCAGAATCGTCCTTTTCTCACCATCCCTGCAGCACAGGCCCTCACTCAAAGGCCCTCACTATATCCCGCCACTATTAACATCCTCTTCTATGGCTCCCAGACACACCCACTGTCCCCCTTCTGTCCACACAAACTGCATCTAACAAAGAGACAGTCCCTGCCCCAGGGAGCTCACCCTCTGCAAGGCCAACTGGGTACTAACTGGTGAGGGGCCTAAAGGTAAACACAAGAAGCTTGTGAGGGAGTGGAGCTGAAGGGGGTCTCAGTGGAGGGACACTAAGTGGTGGATGTGGTAGCAGAGACAATACCCCTGAAAGCTGATCCTAGCAGCAGTGTTTTGGATGGAGGTGAGGGGACAAAGCAGAACAAAGTGGCTGGTGTCAAGGCTGGGCAGGAGGAGATCACAGCAGTGGAGGTGTGAGATGATGGGGTGAATGAGAGCCTGGGCTGTCAGGACAGACAGGAGACGCTGAATCTGTGACGTGTTATACACGCAGGAGCAGGGAGACTGGGGTGAGGTCAGGACATGGGGGCTTAGAGAGAGGCTGAGTCAGAGACAATGCCCAGATTTCTGGCCTAAGTGATTGGGTGAATGGACGTGTTCTAAGGGTGGCCAGCACTGTATTTCAAAATTACAGGATAGTTTTTTCTGCTCTCCCCAACCCTCGACCTGGGCCTACATCATGGAGTGGTTCTCCCAGCCAGAGCAGAGGAAATACCCCCTGGACTCCTCCTGAAAGAAGCCACCTCGAGCAGGGCTCAGACCCCAGGTCTTCCACTCCGCTCTGAGCTCCCTCCAGCCAGCCCAGGCCTCATACCCCACCACAGGGCCACAATCCCTGGCCCACAGGAGGGGCAGAGATCCTGGTACCTTGCTCTGGTGGGGGCCAGTGTGCGGGATGGGAGGCAGGGAGGAGGGAGAGCAGCCACAGCCCCCTGCCTCTGGGAGTGCTCGTGGTGTTATCCAAAGGGCTGAAGAAACTAGGAAGTGGGGTGGGCTGTGAGAGGTGCGGAAGAGATTAAACACTCAGCTGTTGAGCTTAAATTGCCCACTGGACATTGACAAGGAGGAGACGTCAGACAAGCCGAGATGTGGGATGGGATGGAGGGGGAACAGTCTTTAGCGGAGAAGGAGTTTGAGAGACATTGGCATAGAGGTGGTATCTGAAGCCATGTGTGTAGATAGGAGCTACTAGAGGCAGCGTGTGGAGAGAGGAGAGCTGGGGGCCAAGCACTGAGCTTTAGGGGACATTCTCTGAAAGAGACAGGAAGAGACCAACCCAAGAAAACAGACATCGAAGAAGTGATTAGAAAGGCAGGAGGAGAACTGGGAGAGGAGGGAGCTGTGAAAGCCAATGATTTAATGGCGACAGGAGTGGTCAGTGGTGTCAGAAGGAGGAGCATGAGGCTAGCACAAGGAGGATGCGGATCACATAGAAACCATATGATCTGGCCAGGAAGGTCATTAGAGACTTTGGTGAGAGCAGTTTCAGTGTTGTGCAAGGCGGTGGGAGCTGGATTGGAGAGGATCTAGGATGGAATTGGAGGAGAGGAACTCCAGACAGCGATTGTAGACAGAGCGTTCACTGAGCTTAGAGATGGAAGCAGAAGGGGCAGTAGGTAGAGAGGCAATTGGGGTCAGGGATAGAAAGTTTTAAGATGGGAGAGACTGAGTGTCACAGGGTGGCTAGTTCTTTAAGGGGAGTTCAGCCCAGGGCCAGTCTGTGAATATTCAGCTGATGCTGAGGCCAGGGATCAGATGATGGTTTGAAGAGTGCAGAGAGTCACAGGCTTGGGGTAACTGCACCTCTGACTCCCTCTGTGGTTTGCTCAAGGCGTGTCCCCTTAGCTCTCAGGTGTCTCCCTGGGCAGGGACCCACATCCCTCTCTCTTCATACCGGGGTTTCAGGCTTGCTGCCTCCCTGCAATTCACTGTGGGTTTCCCAGCAGGCCTGACCAAGTACCAGCATTTGTGCTTTGCTTTCTCTCCCAGGGCTATGAACAGCATGTGTCAGTGATTACCAGCAACCCAATAGCTCTTCCGAAACAGAGAACATTGAAGGACAAAAGCCTGACAGAGAAAACTTACCATAAACCAATAAGAGGTCTGAACATTACACTTATACTGAAGGATTCTCATTAGGCACATGGGACTCTCTGATAGGTTCCAAAGTCCTTCAAACCTTCCCTTGTCCTCTTGAATAACAGGTCCTGTTAGTTTGTAGGCCAAGATACCAGGCCTCTGGTCCATTTAAAACAAGGGTTTTTTTTACCAAATATCTTTGTTCTCTTTGGCTTCTGGGACTTGATCTGAACTGGTTTGTGCAATTCTGCCTAGGGATGGCACTTCTCTGCAGCTGTTACCTGTCCTAGCAGTAATTACCCCCCATGGGTTGTAGCTCCTGGAGGAGATGGGGTAACCCTCCCCAATGGAGTAGATTAAAATCCTGAGCCCACAGATGTACCTATAACATGTGTAGGTGCCATTTATACAGGGGATACAAAAGGAACATTCATAAAATTAATTCAATAATTCCCAAAATACCACATGTGGTTGCAATACCTGTTAGACAGAGTACACATGTGAGTGTTATAGATTGTTCCTATTATCTCTGAATAGGGCTCAAAACTTCTCACAGGCACCCTGGGTATAATGGATATTGGGGGCTTAATTCTCTGATACACAAAGGACTTTTTGTGCCACTCCGTCATGGGGCCTCCCCAACTGCTGCAGGGACGGTGAAGGGCATGCAAGAAGAAAAGATATGAAAATAGATCATCACCACTATGCAGGCAAAGTCAGAAGCCAGATAATGCAGAGGGAGAAGGATGCAGATAGAAAAGTGCAGGAAGCAGAGAACCAGCCATTATGGAATTACAGGGGTGGGGGGGTCTCAGTGCAGAGACTCAGCATCAGGAGAGACAGAGAGAGCAGGTTAAATTAGTAGGATGGAAACCACAGCAGGAGGGAACCAAAATGCCCAAGTTGCTGTGGAGGCAGCCCCAGGGCTGGAGTGGGTCACTATCATCCCTGAGGGAACAGAACACAGAAGCTGGCTAATTTCACATCCTCATTGTAACAGGAGCTTTAGCTCTGAGCCCTGGTCAGATGTGCCTAGTGCAGCATGAATGATTTGTGGGTTGTTACTTCATAGCTGAAGAGTTGGAGATTCATGATTTGTTTGTGGCCAAAGAGTCTGATCTGTGACTTATACAGACTGCCAGTGCAGTGTACAGGAATGGGCAATGTCCCTTTAAATAGTCTGTGAGCCCTGTAGTGGCGCTCACTGTGTTGTGTATTTTTGAAGCTACCAGAAACCAGCCAGAGCAGTAGGATGGATGTAGTGACAAGACCTGACAAACTGGTGTATAAATCTTAACCATGGTCAGGGGGACCCAGCTGTGCCCTGTGGTTTCTCCATGTTGCTGATTGTTGTGTAAAGAGCAAAGATACTCCAGGTGGGTTGAGCAGATGCTGTTTATAAAACAAGGCAGTGATGCGAGATGGACGGTGATGACCAGTGTGGAAGCAGAGAAAGAACTGACAGGAAGGGGAAGCAATGCATGACAGTTCGTTAGGAAGAGTCAGGCTAAAAGTAAC